TTTGGGGTGCTAGTAAGGATAGGAGAAAACACTCCATGCTAAAGCAGAATTAAAAGACAATTCAACAAAGAGGCAGGAGGTGGATTTGGATTATCTACTGTAGATTCCTAACTCAGGTGGCACCTAATTAATACATCTAATTCACTGGCACGCTTCACAGCCACTGGAAAGCAAACCAGACAACTGCTATTAACTACACTCTCCATGGAGCTCCTACATGTTACAGGTACATTCTTAAACTTTTAAGTGAGTTAATATAAGATATTAGGTACGGGGATGTGGTCTGAGGGATGCATTTGAATGGACATAAGCCAGTGTAGCAATAAGTACCTCAGTGCCTTTGCAGTTCCAAGAGCCCAAGTTCACATCTGAATATGCCAAAGTAACAGAACTGAAGCAAACACCTTTTTTTTTTGTTGTTGTTGTTTAATAAGAACTATTACTGCCTCTGTTTGCCAGGGAACCTGAGATAGAGCTATCCTCCATCTCTGGGCTATTGCACAGAAAAGGAATGCAAGAGCTATGCTTGAGTGAGCAGTCCACTCTTAAGGACACTCTCCTGTGAGAGTGTTCCCTCAGTTTGACCCTTACATTCACCGTAATTTTATGCTTTTATCCAAAGACTGTAATACAAAATACATAGCAACCTTCAAGTAAGAACTGGAGTCCAAAATTCCATCTCTTCCTCACTACCCAGGAAAAAAATGCTATATGGAAAGCAAATAATTGCTACAACAACTGCAACAGTTTGGACAAGCTACTCTCACCAAATGTGTTTTAAAGCAAACAAATAGAAGACTGGGAACTTCTGTGGACAAAGGACTTACACCTACAGCATAGGAGAGTCTGTTTCGTGAAGCAAAGACCCAAAGAAGAGTTTAAATTCATTATAATCTGTCCAGTTTTTGTGGCACACTTATCAGTTAAGAAAAGAACACGGAACCCAAATCTCTCAAGGTTCTGCCATGGAGGCATGGGTGGGGTTATGAAGGAATGTAATAAATTTAACACTGAGAAAAAAAACTTTGGTTACAGAGACTGCCAGCACCACAGTTTGTGTTTAGCAAATTCCTGAAAGTTAGGAGGAAATTTAATTTCCTGATATACTTTGAAGTCTCTGTCCTTTTTTTCATCTGGCTCCCCAGGGACACATTCTGGCTAATCCTCCTCCCGCTTTGGAATAACGATCACCTAAAACTAGGTGCGCACCCAGGCACAAGTGGATTGAGAGAAGCTAGATTTCATGTGCTGCCATAAGAGGCGTTCCCTTCCAGCACTAATCTCACATTAGCCATGTCAGACTTGGGGAAAACCATTCATTCCTATTCTGGCAGCTAAATTTTGGGATCACCAGTTGGAATTGCTCGACACAGACAATCACTGCAACCTGAGCTGGCAGCTCTGAACTGTAGATAAATGCCTAAAAGGGGGAGTGAGAAAGGAGGTGTTATGTACAAGTAAGAAATTACTTTGCTTCTATATACAGCATTTACAAAATTTCTACATGAATATATCCTCTGTAGTTCTCATAGGTTTTGAAAAAAAAATGAGAGATTTGCTAGGAGAGCTGTCAGAACACCAGTCTTACAGTGTGAGCCTTAAAGAGTACAACATATCCAGTTTATCAGAACAAAAGTTGAAAGGTGCCTTGACTACTATATATAAATTTGAGTAGTCATAGGGGTGTTAAAATTGTCATCGTCTAAAGATGTGGAAGATGCAAGGTTTGCAGATTAAGGCAATAACTTCATTAGGTCGGGTGACACAGCCAGAAAAGGAGCACAAGCTTCTGCGTGCACAGGCTTTTCAACAGGTCACTGCAAATAATCAGTTTTTCATAGGCACTGGTTCAGAAAACATATCTGAAAAAGGGAGAGTTTTCAGTCTTAGTGACAAAGGCATAGCAAAAGGAAGACTGGCAGCTGAAATCAGACAAATTCAACCTTTCCACAACATTGCAATTTCCTAGCACTAAGGGTAATTAAATATTGGAACGGCTTACCAGGGGAGCTGGTGGACTCGCCATTGCTTGGAGCTTTAGGACGAGATTAGATATCATTGTAAAAGAGATGCTTTAATCCAGCTTCTGGAAGTTCTCAACATGCCCATAACACTTGCAGCTCTGCATTAAGACAATGACTATAATCAAATCTCATACTTTAGGGTTTCAGCTGATCAACTGCAAGGGTTATAAAAAATTTATTTTTCCTTTCACATAAAAAACCAGACAGATACTTTGGTGGTGTTTAGATCCTGATCTGTCTCTGAAGTAGCAGAGATTGCCCACATCTACACAATATACAGGGGGAGGTGATGCAGTGGCCAGTGGTGATAGGGAAAATTCTCTCTCTTGGCCTCAAAGTCCCAAAGCAGTCATATCCTCATGTGAGCTCACCTTGAATTTGGATGCGGACCACCTGTGACCTGTCGGTCAGTGCAGAACCAGGTCTGATGTGTGTGCCCAGCTACGGGCCCGGCATCAGCACCCACCCAGCCTTGCACTAACACAGCAATGGGACTTTTGGAAAAGAGCTGCTTCACACTCTGCTGCTGAGCACTGGCCAAGGGTCAAAGGAAGAACTGTTGGATCCCCACGCCCTTAGAGGTCTTGTTAACGAATCTTGCTGGATTAGCTCAAAGGGAGTGCTTTTCCCAAGGTGAGATAAATAGAAATCTCAATTGAGTTTGTTTTGTGTACACTCAGTGTGAATCCAAATCACTTGTTAATACACTAAGATCACCTGGACATACCTTATCTAATTAACTAATTGCTATTGAAGAAGCATAAGTAACACCTTGATCTTTTCTGTCTCCTGAAAATTAACATGCTTTACCAGCACTAGAGTTCAGCTAGGTATCAAGATGGATTTAGTGTTCTGTGTTTTCCAATATAACTAGATACATAAGCATCCCTTTTTGGTGTTTAATTTAGCTACATCCATAACATTATAATCTCCACTATTTTAGCAGAATACTGTCATGACTTAATTATTAAATGTAAGTAAAGCTGAAGACAAGACAGGATATTCTGCTGCTTTTACAGTTTTGTGTGAAAAGAGAATGTCTCAACTCTGTCAAATAAAGCACAACATGAGAAATGGTTCACCTTGCGATTTCTGTGAGCTGCACAGTGGCATGTCCATACTGCGAGTCTCCAAATAAAGATCTATTTAAATCAAGTCCACATTTCCAGGCTTTATTCTTCTCAGCTACCTATACTATGCTCCTATATCCCTTTGACAGTGAGTTAGATTCAAAGATATTTCTGTTTGCACTAAATAATGGGCCATTTGATGGAGTGGCGCACAGCTACAGCTGGAATGTAATGGGGGCATATAATTCACCTGTCCTGCAATTAAGGACTTTTTCCATGCAGAATAAGGATGTTTTACCATAACTCTGAAGCATAGATATTAATATAAGGCTCCTTTCTGATTATTGGTCATAATCATTATGTTAAGATTGCCATATTTCAAAGTAAGAATGGGACACACCATGACAGCACTATGTAGTAACACAAAATATTCATGTAGAAACAGAAGCAGACTCAATTTTTCAAAAGGAGGAAAAAAAAAAAAAAAAGAGATACACCAACATTGTTTGTCTCAATGTCTATCTTGGTGATACATGCATATGTTTGACAGCAATGGTGAAGATCATATTGACAAGATGGCCCTATTGAGCAGTACATTATTCCATGAGTATCCTTCCTCAAACCAAACCAGACTACTCAGAATGAGAGTCTCCTCATCTGGGATGAAAATGGCAAAATCTGCACTTAGAGTCTTCTGACTTCTCAAAGAGATTTGACTTGGTCTGCTGCTGCATTGGAGTGAAATAGCTCTGACGGACTCTGTACCCGGATCTGCTCCACACTCCACTCAAATTTCATGATGATGAACTTCCAATCTTTTTTTGATCATTTTTTCTACTGAGATTCTTATAGCATATCTAATGCCCACAATTCAGGAATGCTTGGAAAACCTCAAATAAACCTCCTGTTCCATAATTTTTAAAGAAAATTATTTTAAACAAAAACTGAAGGAGGGATATTATATTACGCAATAGACACATTAGAAGCCAATTACATAATAAAGACTAATATTGTTCTAATGATAGATAACATCAGAATTTGACTACATCTCTTTGGGATACAAAAATTCTGCCTTAGATTTCACAACCTATTGATTTGAAGGATGATTCAAGAGAATTTTGAGTACAGAAAGCATCTACACATTTGCAGCAGATATTTACCCTATCACACAGAGTGCTCATTTATATTCCTCCTGTGCCAAATTTTTTTACCTGAGTAACACAGAAGTTCACATGATCACTGAGTGTCAAATTCTCTGCTCTTCTGTTTCTGCTAAAAAATTCCAAACTCAAAATGTTTGAATAGTTAAATAATTATAGTTGTAAGATTCTAAAATTTTTGAGTGGACTATTTTTAAATTTAATTTTCTACACAGCGTAAAAAATAGATGTGTACAGTAGAATTCAGAGAACTCACATAATTGTGTTCTCATCCTTTCTTGATTCCCTACCAGAAATGGTATTCTTACTGTTCAAAACCTGTATCCTGTACACTTCTCATACAAGAACTGGAAACTCAGTCTTGTGTTTCTTGAATCTTAGCTTTCCTTAAACACTTCCAGGTAGGTTTTTTTTCTTCCTTTCAGAACCACGGGCAAGTTTGAATTAACTTAAAATATCTTCATTAGAATTTGGTATTTTGGATTAATGCTTCTCCCCCCCTTGGTTTGTTTAATATTAAAGATGCTAGAGTTAACATCTAAAGCAGATTTTCAATTCTATTCTTTAAGCTAGTGCATATAATAGCTACCTCTCCTTATTTTTTCTGAAACTAAAAAACACCCTAACAGTACAATTTTGACATGTAACAACATGTTGTCAAAAGCACATCAATTAAATTTTACACCCCCCCAAAAGAAAACTCAATATAAAACACACAAATAACATAATCTAACTGTTCACTTTACCTTGAAATGCATGCCCTGTTAGAGAATCCAAATCTGAAATTAAAACAGTGAAAAAATAATCTTTAACACTAATTTAATATTAAAAAACCAAAAAATATCCAAAGCAAGGCTGACACCAAATATCACATTATCATCAACATCAAATTTTAATCATAAATATATATATATATCAAAAGCAAAAATAGAACACTCAGCATTACATTATGGATTTTTCCTCCCCACAGTTTTGTAAAGATGTAAAATACATTCTAAAGATGAACGTGTTGAACACTACAAGAAGCTAATTTACTGTTTAAGACAAGTTTTAAGTTTTAAGACAAGTTTTAAGACAGTTTTAAGAATCTAATTTACTGTTTAAGACAGATTTAATTATGGCATTTAAATCGGAATTTTACAAAATTTTTTTAATGAACCTCCACTTTCAGAAGCTTACGTCTTGTGTACAAGCATTTGTTCTGATGTTATACTTAAGAACAATAATTAGCAGTCTGCAAAATGTTTTTTAGATAATACCATTTTAAAAATAAGATTTTCTTTCTTGACCATAACAAATAACATAACTAATTTTGTCTATCCTAGTGTTCATTCTTTCATATTTTTTTCAAAAATTAGCAGTTTTAAAATAGAAATCAAGCTGGAAGTATTCCTGCTGACACCAAAAAGCATAAATTAGGGCTTCATTAGTTGACTGCCATCTGAAGAGAGAGCAGGAAAGCACACCAGTAGCACCAGAATGACCCCTCCCCAGCTTGCACTGGTACCAGAATTCAGAATGTCATCTTCACAGTGCATTGCACCACCTTTGGAAATTCTGTTTTCTTAACATATTTAGCAACTTTGAGGAGTCACACTCAGAGATTCACTTGTAAATCTATGGCCAGAACTAAAAGAGTAGCTAGCTCTGATAAAGTATGGTCACAATATCAGCCAGAATTGCTATTTCATTACTAAGGTGTAAGGCTAATTCTCAGACCTACATGTCCAAAACATCCCCTTTGTAGGTAGCGTTGCCTCATGCGAGGGACTGATGTGGGCACATTTGGAAAACAAGCCCTGTTGCTAGGAGCAGTCCACCAGTTCCCAATTATCTCACCAAGATATCTCATGGGCAACCCTCAGACTCTTCCGTATTCCCGTCATCTCACAAGTGGGATGGCAGAGGGAAGCAGTAGCCACATTCTCTTGGAAAAGCACAACAGGCAGATTGAGGCTGACAAATTTACCCTAATGTGTGTACATGTGAGCTCACTTGGCATTTATAGGAACTGAATATTAGCAGTGCCTGGAAAAAGGTAGTTAGGCACTTTATTAGAAACGGAAAGTACCATTTTAAAATCACTTGATCTTAAAAAAAGGTTTTGTTTCCTGATTGCAACAATCAACAGATGCAAGATTCTAGGTTAAAGGTTTAGGCCACAGAAACCCTGAACGTCTTGTAATACAGTAACCGATTCCAAAAGTTACTGGGAAAATATTTACCAGTGAACTCCTGGATATACATCTTCTAGTACTGGAAGACAGGAGGAAAGTGCGCTTGGCTTTAATAATTTATAACTGTTTAAATGAGATAAATTTCCTGAGGACTGAGAACATGCTTAGTGTTGTAAGTGAACACGGGAGAAAAACAACCCAAAATGTGATAAATGTACTAGAGAGAGCTGCTTTCCGAAATTCAAGATAGTGAACACAATGCATTACCTAACACTTCCAGTCTGTGGGGTCTCAAGCTTCATCATACCAAACTTTATCATAAACTACAGCAGCAAGAAAAACTAATCTCAGCATTTTTCTTTCCAGAGCCTGAGAGACAAAAGAATGTTGTTGCCCCCCTAGGAACCAATAAAAACCCCACCAGAAATAGATTATGCATAAATGGAGTATCTAGCTATGCAGTGACTGCTCTCTGAAAGCACAGAGACTGGATGCAGCCACTGTGCAAACCTGGATTATCCCAAAAAAAGGCGTAATACCTGAATTGCCCAAACTGCTGTCGCTGTGCACAGTCTGTGGCTGCACATACTGCCACAGCAATAATATGTTTGAAAACATCTGTTCTATGTCGTTTTATTGATTAAAGTATTCTGATACAAAACCTTAAAATCCAAGAAAAAGGAATGGGGAGGAGGGGAAAGTCTTCTTCCTATAGCAGTGGAACAGTATCTACTCAGGCAGTGGGATTTCAAAGAAAAACCCAACAACCTAAACCAAAAAAGTGGGGTTGTTTCTGAAAAGTGCATGTACTTGCAGCAGAAATCACTATTCAGAAATCCTATGACTAAACTGATGCAGATAACTTAATGCAAATTAATTAGGAACTTGTCCCAGCATAAAACAGCACTACTTTGTAACATTCTGTGTTAAGCTAATGATGTAAATTGTGGATGTGTTTATTTTCTTAGAAGTCAACCTACAGTCACTGAAAACAAGGCAGTTTGTCACCCGAGCACATGTCCTGTGTGAACTGTTAAATAAAATCAGACCTGCTTTACTAGCTGAAACCAGAAGAGTTTATGGTATATTGAACCCACAAATCATGATCCACATGCCCCAATTCCATCATTACATTTCCCAAAGAATGATCTGAGCTGACACCGCATAGGCAGGCAATGTAAAGTTGCCCACATAAAGATAAATACAGTGTGCAGCATTTCCCTGCTAGACTTCAATACATGCAATTACTGCAGTTATAATGGAACAAAACCTTTGCTGTGACTGAAACAACCAGGGTATTTAGTCTCTGCCATAAGATTTCTTCTGCTCTTATGGACTCCAAGGGCAGGAGAAAAATCAACATTTCCTGTTATTGTTCAGAAGACTTTGCAGTCTCTGGGACTGATTTTCAATTAAGTAAGCCTGGTCAGGTGGAATTCAATTTTCCTCCATTACATTTAGTTAATGAATTTCCCTGATTTGGCACCATGCACTTTCATATTCATACATAAGACTTTCTAAGCAAAGAGCAGGAATATGAGATGAAAGTGGAGTACATACAAATGAAACACATTTCCATCCCCTTTTTAAAGCAAAATAGCCAGCATGTCCACAGCGCCAATTATCAATGAGTTGTATTCATGCAATCCATACCTTATTCTTAATGTGTCCTTCATTTAAGTAGAAAAAATAGTGGTTTGGTGGTAAAGCTGACTTTGAGTTATATTGCATAGCATGATTTTTAAAAAGGGAAAGAGGATGTACTTCTCAGCAGGCAGTATCTTTGGTACGCCACATTCATTTCATTAGCTCACTGCAAAACAGATGTTGGAGACGATACAGGCTTTTCATGCCAATAAGCTAATTGTTTTTTGCCTAGCGCTGATTAGCAAAGATGGACTCCCGTCTATATCTTGCCTCCAGGGCTCTGTTCCTCCCGCTTCAAAACCAGCGTACACTGCACAATCTAGTAGGCAACCTTTGACTTCCACTCTTGTGGCACTCCTAGTGCTGTGCTTCCAGTCAAATACCAGCACCGGGTGCAGCTGCTGCTGATGTGCATTTGGCAGAGCACCAGGGCCAAATGATTTTTACGGTGCAGGGGAACACGTATTTCAGACGCAGAGCACACTGAAGTCATTTAACATTAAGGTCTCTCCATGGCATCGACAGTGAGATGATGAAATACCAAACCATCTCTGGGAGCTCATACCTGCTTAGAAAGGTTAGGAGGAGCTAAATGAATGCTAAATCACGGTCTTTTGAAAATACAGGATTTTTTCCTGCTTCCAAGTCTTTAATAGATATTGTCAGCAGGACACGAGTGTCACTGCTTTGCTAAACTTCCACAGCTAGACTCAATCTTATTTTACTAAAAGCCTATAACTGGCCAGCAGAACTCAGGAGCCATTGTGGATGTGCACAACACCTGGGCCATGAATTCTGCAAAGCTCATGCCTTCTTTAAACAAGAAGAGAGGAGTAACCTTCAGCATCTCAGAAAATTGGGAATATGAAGGGAGAGAAATAAAAAAGCTGGTCACAAAGAAGAAAGTAAACAACTGACATATAGGTCCAGTGGCTGAAACTGTGAGGTGGCTTTCATTAACTAGAAATTACAAACGTAGCTTTGACAATCAGGTCAGTGAAACTAGTTGCATATAACTCCTAGGAATGGATTTGGATTGTGAGTTTGGCCACACTCAGATTCGGGGTTTAATTTGGTACCACCCAAAACTAAAGCCAAAGGCTAAAGCAAGTAGGTAAGCAATTCTTTGCATTAGCCTCTAGAGGGGGAAAGTTTCCTTCAGCTTTGGAAATGAAGTGCATTATTCCCTAGAAAGCTGTTTTTGCAGTAGATGACTCTTACACAGTCCTGTTGCCTTACTTTATCATTATCCTGCCACCGAGCCCCTAACCTACTGCAATAAAACTGTTTTCAGGCTCTTTCTTATTTTCCTTGATATATTATTGCATTCTTTTGCCACTAATCCTGTTAACAGCACAATTATCATTTTAATGGGAATGTAAACCTTTTCTGTGAGAATTTCCATGATGAGAAGAAAACAAGACTTAGAATAGAGGCTGCACTCAGGAATTCATAATAGTACAATCACAATCGTACAAACCCACTGCTCATTGCACTGATTGTTGGAACTTATTTTTATTCTTGGAGATAATTCAAAGAAAAAAAAAGTTGAACAGCTAGCTCTGAAGACTTAACAATATGACATTACAAAGTCTATTTTTTTCTCTGATTCAACCTGCTCCCATAAATCTATTGACAAAAAATCGCGTCATATTGAGACAGATAGATCACATTTGCAATGTTAACCAGGGTTTCATTCTGCCAGCTTTATTTTCCATAATATTATTAAGAGTGGGATTCAAATTTACTTTTCTTCAGTAGAGGTGCCTACATGGAAGCAAAGTGTCTGAGTTTCCATTAGCTCCAATGAAGAAGGAGTTCAAATTGAGCCAATTAATTGCGCCAAAACGTAGAAATCAAACTTGGTCAGCTGAACAGTTAGAACAGCTCTTCCCATTGACAAGGTCTCCAATAGTCATAGTGGAAGCTTAGACAGCTACCTACATATCCTATAA